TTCTGGGAGCAGAGCGTTCTCCTGGCCCGAGCTGCGCGGGGAGGAAGCGCTCCGAGCACTCTAGCAGATGGGGAAGGAAAACCAGCGCAGGCTTTGAGTAGCAGTAGGGAGCGGGGAGCAGGTCTAGAGGCAGCACTGAGCGGTGGGTTTGATTTCGGTGTATGTGTGTTAATTACCAGTAGCTGATCTTGAAAATATCAGCGCTGTAAGTGACAAAAATTGTTCTGGTAGCATCTCACAGAGTCCGGGGTCGCCCTGAAAGGGGCTTTAGATAGCTCTGGTGCTTTGTAGCCTTTCCCTTTGTACCTCAAACATTCTTAGACTGGTAAGGACTGGAGACTGGAGGTCTCCAGCCTTGGCTTCGGCTACGTAGAGGCTGTTAGCGATTCTGAAATGAAAAGCGACTCCCTCAGACCACTGGTTTGCATCATGTAGTAGCTAAAGGCATTTTCATTTTAAAGTTGCAGTTGGAAGAGATTAAGCAAGCTTTGTGTTTGAGTTGAGTATGGGTGCTCTCAGAGTGATGATAAAGAGTTTTGGGGACAATTTGTTGCCTTATCTCTGAATGCAGGAATTCGGGCTGGCTGTTCTGGATGATTTTGTAAACAGATGATGTGGCAGGACTTAGTGGTCATCCCCCCATGTGGTAGACGCGCACGGTGAAGTGCTGCCCTGCGGTCATTTAAGAGCTTCGATCTCCTCACACTAGGCCCGCTGCCTTAACTTGAGGTCTCTGACACTTTGCTTGCCATTTTGATACTTGTTCAATTATTCTGTTTGATTTAGTCTACTTGTATTGTTTTCACACTTTATTTTTTTCCTTCTTCCTTTCTAGTGCTTTGCTAACAAGAGTAAATCAAAGCACAGGGTTGTGCATCGGGTCCTCCAGCGGGCAGATGTACATAAGTGAGGTTATGAATACTTCAAATCTGTGTTATTAAACAACAGGCTCCCTGTTATCATGCTGAAATGGACTTGGCCCTGTCCTGCTGGTTACTCTTGTCCCTTCTCCATGCTCTTTTAATTTTTTATGCTCATCTTCTGGGATCAGCTGTGCAATACTTCTTAAAACAAGAATTTTAAACTTTAACCTAAGTGTAGCACACTTGAATGAACCCCACTTAATTTCTCTGGAGACTTATGTCATCACTTATTCAAAAAGGCACAATACAGTCAACATACAGCTTCAAATACACGATTATAGGATTCTTCTTGTCTGTTACGTTCCATTCTGCAATGAGTAAAGATGCAAAGAAGAAAAAAAATGGGGAGAAGTAGGAAAGCTAAGAGAAAACCCTTCACACTCCTTTAAGAGAGTGAGGATGTTGTCTGTGGTGGTCTAACAGTGATGGTTTTGTCCTCAGAGGATTTCTGTTGCAGAGGTGTCTTTAGGTGGGACATAACTGAAAAAGAATGGGGAACAGGATTTTATTGGAAAACAAAGAATCTACCATAGGGAAATAATTACTTTCCTTTCAAAAAGAACAGGTATCAGGAGAGACTGAAAAGGGGATGGAGAAAAAGCAAGTGGAATTGATCAGGGGAAGGGAGCTGTGATGGGAAAAATCTGTGTGACTTATACAGAGAAACATGACTTATTTATTTTTACAGGTAATGGGCCATTTTTGCTAGATTAACAGTGTTTATACAATGTTTTAAACAGGGTTAGAAATTTTCACGAGAAAAGCTTCCAGATTGCTTCCTCAATATGTTTAAGTGGTGTCTTATCTTGTGCTTGTGTAGAAGTTGGAGGCATTGCAGTGGGCACTATGTTTGGCAGAGTTCATATTGCAATTGCTCCTGTGACTGGAGTTTAGAGGTAGCCTTAAGCAAGCTGAGTGGGATCTGCTAATAAACTAGCCATGAGAAATTGTGGTTCAGTGTAGGTATTTACATAGTTTGTGTTGCTGTCCCTAGCGTCCTAGTTAGGCTGGTAAGGGGACCTGAATTATTGTAGACATTGTATGCAGGGTTATGTGCTCAAAATTAGAGTTATTTCATGCAAGGAATGGATGACTTCAGATGTGTGATCAGTGTATGATGACTTGTTTCATTTGCCTTAATTCTGGGATAGCTTGCAATACTTGGTCATCTGAAGAGTTGTGGCTCTTTTGTGTCTCTTCTTGCAGGAAGGTCGGTCTGTGTGTGTGTGCCCACTCTTCCCTGGGAGATGTCCAACGTTTCCAGTTATGCCCTTCGAATGGCCCGGCTGAGTGCTCAGATATTTGGAGAAGTTGTCAGGCCAACTGACTCAAAATCTATGAAAGTAGTGAAGTTATTCAGTGAGCAGCCTTTGGCCAAGCAGAAGGAGGTCTACAGCTGGTATCCTCCTCACAACACCTACTATGCCCTCATGAAGAAACTCCGTTACTTCGGTCTCTACAGGTAATCTCTGACCTTAGAGGGTGAGAGCAGGACTGGAGATGGGAAAGGGATGGGTGTGAGTTCTGTTACAGGTGTTTTTTTATCAAGGAAAACAGGAACATAGAAGGTGGTTCAGTTCAGAATATGGTGCCTATGGAAATAGCCACTTGATTGTTGTACCGAGGGCAAGGAGAGTAAAATAAGTGACTACTAAGTAACTTTTACCATAATTAGAACCTTTTGTGAGAAAGACTTTTGTGCAGTTATGGGCAACCAATTATGTAAGCAATAGCTCTTGTTTTGGCTTTATAGGGAAGGGAAGGGAAGCGAGCTTTCTTACAGGCAAGAGATGAGTCTGTAGTTCCAAATAGGGTGAATGTGCTACAAAAAGGCAATGTTACCTTACCACTAAAACTGCACTAAGACAGCCTTGCCATGTATGTCTCAATCATTCAACAGCTAATAAGTGAAATTTAGAAGAGAAGGAAAGTCTCTGTGTTAGGCTCAAGGAGCTTTTTAGCCTTTAAAATAAATTAAATTAAGTTAAATGTTGCTTAAATAGCCTTGTTAATTCCAGCTTCATCGAAACGAGTTGTCTAATTTCTAAACTAATTTCCACAGTCTTGAGTAGGGAAAACTGTGCTGCTAAAGAATATCAGCAGGAGTCAAAGGCAGCTCACTAAGCTCAGTCAGGCAGCACTCAAGAAATCCCTTAAAAGTGAGGTTGCTAGCCCTGTAAAGTCAAACCCAATTAATTCTACTGCTAGTATTGCAATACTGGCCATCAGGGATTGCATCCAGGATGCTCTTGGTCTAGGTGGGTGTGCAAACACTTCCTAGAATAGCTGTGTAACACAGAAAGCTTCAAGGACATGATAATGTTCTTTACTCTTTCCTCTCCTAACCTCAAGTTCCTTCTCCAGCTGCCCTGTGTGCAGAGAGCTCGTAGAGGATCAGGTCTGCTGGTCAAAAATACGTAATGAAGAGTCCCAGACTAATAGGGCCTGATAAAAACTCGCAAGTTTTTTGTTTCTTTTTTTAGAAAAGTTGTGTTTAAAGATACCAGTGCAGCAATCTTGGGCCACTTTAGGATGCAGTTACAACTTTTGAAAAATACCTTTGCACTGAAAAAATACAGGCACAGAGATTAAATAAAATTTATCAGACCATTAATGAGGATTCATTGTCTCTGCCAGCCCCTTTCATCCTTACTGTTTTATTCTCCTGTTAAGATTCTACCAGTAGCTGATGCTTTCTTCATAACTCATTCTTAAAGTCACCTGAGAGCAGTGTCATGTACTGTAATTACTGCTCAGTGTGCCCCTGTTTTCTTAGAGGCTAATGACCTGAGCTTAGTATCTAGCACAGAAAGACAATGTGCTGTTGCTAGACTGCTGAGCTAGATGAGAAGGGAGAAATTCTCATTCTTGTCTCTTGCTGATTTTTAGGTTTTACTGCTCATTTGAACACAGCGGATCAATAAATGCAGTGGAAATAACACATCTATATATATATATGCATGCATCATTTATTGCTAGAGAGGGCAACCTTGTTAGTTCTGAAAGTACCAGAGGAAATATTCATGTTATTTAGTCCAAAATTACTGCTAGCAGTAGCGTTGAACGCTTTGCAGTGAGTTTCAGTGTGAACTTCACTGTTAAAAAAAAAAAAGAAAGATTTTTTTAGTAACTTCTTTTTTTTTTTAAAAAGAGTTTTTTATGACCATACAGTTCAAAGAACATTTCACATCTAGGTACTCCAAGAAGTAAACTTTTTTTTTTTCTTTCCTCCCCATCTAGAGATGAGCATCAGGACTTTAAGGAAGAGATGAGGCGATTGAAAAAGCTACGTGGGAAGGAAAAACCAAAGAAGGGGGAAGGAAAAAGAGCTCTCAAGAAGAAATAGTGCCACTTGGACAATACCATGGACTACTGTGGAGAAAAGCTGTAACCCAGGTTTTTCTGTTCCCAGATGGAGAGGGCTTGGCATGTGAGCTGTGTCTGAGGCAGAAGAAACACGCTGTGAAATACTGCAGTCCACCTGGGGAGTGCACATGAGTCTTTCATTTTAGTAAAAACAATAATTAAAAACATAAGTGCTCAGTGTTTTTCTTGCAGACACCTGTAGCTGTTTCAGTTTTTCTGGGTATGGAAAATTGTTTGCTTTTCATTGTCTGTTTTACTTTTTTTGGATTAATATCAACACTGTTTTTCATGTGGCTACAAAAAATGGTTTCTGCTTCTACTGCTGCTTGTTGTCTTGCTTATTATAATGATTTTCACTTCAGGTAGCTTTAGTATGTTTTTGAAGTTGCTGTTAGAATCTGTTGTTTGGTATTTTGCACTGGACAATACTTCACAGTCCATTGCCTACCCACAGCACTCTCATTTTACCCTGAATATTTAGATGTTGCCACAGAAGAAGCTGAAATACAAGGGCTCAAACTCTTTTCCAGTTTGAAACCCTCCCTACTAATTAAATGCAACATTTAAGTTTATTTTGACAAAAGGATTTTTATTTTATTTTGATTGTTTGGAGGACATGTATGAAATATGTCATAAGGTGATGAATAGTTTTACTGGTGTTTCAGTTTTGCTAATATTAATGATAGCACACATCTGCCAGTCCTACCTGTCAGTCCCAGTTGGGGAATAGAAAGTACAGAACCTGGCCATGTGTGCATCTTGCCCGTGTGTGTGTGCCCTGAAACAGCACCTTTTAATTTCCAAACCTTGTAAGCTTAGAGGAACATCCTTGAGGTAGGAAAGGAAAGCTATTAAAAATGTAGGAAGACTGGCGCAGAGAGTGTTTGCTGTTAGCTTGGGGTGTGCTTGATTTTGCTTACAGAGGCATTCTGAAGTAGGGAGCAGCAGAAATCTCCTGACACTTCTACACCAAGCTTGTTCAGATGTAAGGGTCTTTGAAGGGATCTTTTGGATTACTGAAATGGGTGGGTCTACATAAATTTGTAACAGCTCAGTGACTGCATTCCACCACGGTTACTAATCGAAGAGGTGCTGACCGTAGGAAAGGTGTTCCTTGTGAGCTGTGCAGTTATTGCTTTCTGTCTTTTCCACGTGTTACCTGGTTTTCTAAGCTCTAAGAGGAGCTGATTTTAGGAGATGTGCAGTGTTGTGGGAGAAGCACCTGAGATCTTAACACAGTCAACAAAATGCTGTAGAAGTTAGTAAAATACATAACTGCTTTGTACTGTAGTGGTAAGTTTCCCTCTTATTTAAAATAATTTTATTAACTTGCAACTTCTGCTCAAGTCTAAGGTGGCTATGGCATTTTAGTGTGCTCCGTGTTGTCTGTGACTTGTGACCCATCTGGTACCTAAGTATACAGAGCCTGTGGTGGGCCCCCTGTGCATGCAGCCCAAGGGAAGCGGTCTGGTTCTCTGAAATTCCATGAAAGAAGAGCACCATGGAGCCACGTGCAAGGTGAGAGAGGGGAATTGCCTGAGTAGGAAGGTTGCTGCAGCCCGATGCTGTTTCTGGCTATGGCTGTGAGGGGTGAAGTTGCTCAGGTGCTTTCTTTGGTGGAGAGAAAGACCAGTTCTGAACCTCTTCCACAGGATTACTGCAGCAGCTTCGGACAGCTGGTAATAGTAGTTGCAACAGCTTTGTCGGCAAGAACTTTGTGCTTCCAAAATTAAATCAAAGATGAATAAAAATGTTTTCCCTGCAATCTAAGATGAAAAGTCAACAGCATCTTTTTGTTCCCATGGAACACTTAAAGCTTTAATAGTATAAACACACAAGAGAGAGAATGTGTGAGTGCATTAAAAAGTGAATTAAGGTTTTGCTCCAGTACCGTAGCTACGCATGGCCTTAAACTGTGTGTGTGTTGGGAGACCTGCTTATTGTGTGTACATGTAGTGATACATAAAAATACTTGCACAGCACGATTGGCCATAGTTGTGTTTCTGAATCCACATATAGCCTGCTGAAGGGCTGAGCATGTACAGAGCCCAGCAAAGGCAGTGAGTGTTACAGGTACTCTGCAGCTTAGCCTGTCACCGTGCTGGACACAGGTACGGACTCAGCACTGTAATATTAGATAATTAGGCATGAGGGGATCGGATCTGTTCTTCCTTGTCTACTCCAAGCCACCTAGCTATTTATGGATTTTGAGAAGCTCCTGTGATGAACAGGAAAGCAGAAAGCTTGTTTGTCTGCAACCTGCCATAGCAAACCAGCTCTCCAATCAAAGCATCACCCTGGGAACATACCTGGGGAAGGTACTTAGAGCAGCAGCAGTGAATCACAGCATCTAGACAAATTGGAAGTCAGTCCTGAAACATCACGTCAGGTATTAATGCAGTGTGTGTAGGAGGGGAAGGAGAGTTTCAGCCATATTCTGAGGGGTAAGAATGGGAACACTTTATACAACTATTGGTATATCAGTGTATCCATTTATGTATAAATAATAAAGTTCAATTAGATTTTTATTTTTGGCTTTCCCCTTAAAATTATTCTTTTTTCTTTTCAAACTCTGCTGTGTGTTAGAAGATTCACTCTTTTCCTGAGAGTGTGAGCTGACTGTCCTCATCAGATGTTTAGATGGATCCTTTAATTCTTGATTGGAATAAACCAGGTTACCTGATCTCTGAGGGACTAACTGAGAGTCAAAACCCTTAGCTCTTCCCAATCCTGAACAGCTTTATCAAGTGCCACTGCTTCCTTATTTTATGGTGCTTTAACTATGTTTACCTTAAAATCTGTATTATATATGATTATATTCTATTGCTAGAATCTCTTACTATTGAAAGTCCTGGAGACAGGCAGAAGTTAACTTGCATATGGCTGTACTTTGTAATGGTCAAAGTAAGAAGAAAAAAAAAAGGCAAAAAAAAAAAAAGGCAGTGTTGCTTTCTGGCAAAGGTACCAGTGTGTTAAAATATATGTACTCTGCTCAGGAAAGTATTAACTTGAAAAAAGTTTCTCCTACTGTGGAAAGAGTTTGTTCTACTAGTTAAAGCAATGTGCTGAGTTTACACAGGTTGGCAAAATGCATCTAAGTTACTCTATAGTATTAGACAAATGCTTTGTCTTAGTTGTCTGTGTTTCCTCAAGAATAAAATTAGAATAATGATCACGTAGTGAACAGTGCCATGAAGGTAAGCTGCTTCTAGCATGGGAATTTACCCCAGGAGAACTTCATGTAAAGAGCAGCTTAGACTGGCTATGGTAGGACTTGTACCTCTGCCTATTTCAGAGAGTTGATTGTATACAACAGTTGACCTTTTTAACACATAAAATAAGCTGTGGTAAGTTACTGTGTTCACTGTTCTGCTTTAGATGTTAGAGACTTCAAATGCTAAAAGAAAAATCTTGATTTGATCAGAAAGTTTAAAAAGAAAATCACAGATATTTCTTAAACTGTAAATATTTTTGAAAATTTAAAGTATGTGTTTACATATACCACTTTGAAGACTATTTTGGGGTCACTTTTATGTACTTTGTTGATTGTTCTTTAGTTTTGGACAAGCTTCATGAATCTGAAAGTCTGCTTTGAGGGAATGACTGTTTTGTAAGTTTTTTCTTTCTTTTAAAGCGCAAAGGATAATATGCAAAGGAAACAAGTACTAGGGGGATCTCTGATTCTTTTAAACTCTGTTATCCTCTGTAAATGCTTGATTGTGACACTTCTTGTACAATCCCTTGGAAGTAGATCCTGGAAACAAAGTCCTTCAAGGGGATGTCATCTGTTCATTACCTTGATGTTGAGACATATGAGAGCAGGGACTTGTCCTGTTTAACCTCTTTTAGAGGCAGTGTAATGTCACTAAACTGTCCAAACTACCATGTGTCATAAATCCCAGAGGTAAAACTTAAATGATGTGTGTGGGACAGGTATTTACGATGGTTCTTTCTGTGCCTGCACAGTTGGGGTAGCATGAAGAAGGGCATTTTTACCTTTTCACTTTTCCTCACTCTTCCTTGTCCTTTCCTTCAAGTGTAATAATAACGTCTTGAGTAGAGAGAGGAAGGAACAGGCATGAAAACTCCTGAAAGAATTTGGTTGTGAAGGCACAGTCACAGCAGAGCACAGCTATAGTGCCTAAGTGGTGAGGGGCGTTACTGTAGACAGATGTTAGAAGGACATCACTGCCACGCTGGCTGAGAAATTATTTAGGGTTGTCTAAGAGGATAAATAAAAAAATCAACAGGATAACGATCATGACGTTGAAGTGCTTTCATATATACTGTGTTGAATTGTTCTAGGTGGAATACTGGGGAAAATTCCACAAGGTGAAATATTTAGAAAAATTGAGAAGTAGTCCCAAGAAGTGGGTTTGGCTTCTGTTGTCTGAGTCAGTCAGAGCTACGCTGAGCCAAGTGTTATAAAACGTAGCACTGGGACCACTTCTCTCCTGGAAGAGGAGGAGGCAGACTGGATGACTTCATACATTTTCTCATATCATAGCTAGGTCTGTGGAAACAAATCTCACCAAGAGCTAAAAAAGGATTTTTATATCCATTAGGTTTTCTGCCTATGCTTGAAAGTACTTTACTAAATCCCAGGGCATCTAAAGTTGTTTGTAAATATTTCATACAGTTCAGAGGGTCTCTCCCACTTCAGTTGTTGTTTCTGTGGGTCTGATGTTTGCCTTATGGGCTGTTTCAGTAAATAGGCTTTTAATGGTGTTAGAAGCATAAACCACCTGAGGTCCAGAAAGTCTAAAAAACATTCTCTTGTCACATGCAATGGTGCGATGCGGCAAATACGTAATTGCAAATGCATCATATTCCTCAGTTTCCACTACAGTCTTGCCTGGATAAAAATTAGGGGGGTCAGTTGGCCCTCAGCTTTCAGAAGTGGAATTCTAAAACACAATTCCAGATTCAAGCACCTACAGAAGTGGTCTAACTTTAGAAGCTGTGTGAATATTGTGTATCTCCGACTGGTATCAATGAGATTTACCTCTGCGTAACAGCGAGGTAAATCCTATGCCAGCGTACAAGGTTGTATTTCCCTTTAGTCTTTGCCTGATGGTGGTCTTTTCAGGACAGCATTGATGAAAACATCTCTGTAGACATTCTGTCATGCCTATGC